CCCCAAACCCCCAAAACCCCAAAACCCCAAAACCCCTATGGGTAAATAAAAAATGGAAGATTTATATATGGCTATATCTTCATTTGGCTTAGCTCAAAACTCCTCTGCTTACTCCCCTTAATTGATGAATATACTTTCTTTCTGATCTGATTTTTTATAAGAGGAGAATTGCCAATTTTAATAATAAAATCATTAGAACAACGATCATTATTTTGAATGATAATTTCGCTCCCATTTGTATTAAGTTTCTATACACTTTTAAAATTCTGCAACAAAGACAAAAAATTAAAGGATAGTACTTACAGATAACTTTTTCTCTCTGAACTTCTTTGAAGTCATTGGTCTGTCCATTTCCTTTGAAAGAGTCCTGCACATCCTCTCATGAGTAGAGTATGTAGTCTCATCCTTAGTATTTGTCATCTTAGAGTCTGTAGGGCTTGACGAGTTTGTAAAAACTCTCATATTTCTTTTACCCTTAACCTTATTTGGTAAGAGATGGTTGAGATCATCCTCATAGTAATTAAACGATGAATGAGCTTGATCTACGTTTATAGACTCTCTCTTCTTAGATTTCCGCTTTCTAATTCGGTGATGCTTCTGATGCAAAATGTTCATCAAAGAGTTCTGTTTTGTCTGCACTTGAGTCTTCGGAAGCAACCCCTGATTGTGGTTATTTCTGCTCTTATTAGCATTCACGTTGGAAATACTCTCAGCTACCAGCTTGCCTCTTCGGACAATTACAGTAGCCTTATCATCTAAACTATAAACAAAGAAATCTAACGAATTTTATGAGGAGTGGAAGTTTCAGGCTCATAAGCCTGTTCCAAAATGTCTTCAAAAATATTAGCTTTTTGCCTCTTCACTTTCTTCCTGTTAAGCTTGAACACTCTAGGTTTGACTTCCTCAGCTTCAGAATGTTCTTCTCTCAACTTGTGCATGAGACTATTCTCGTTCATTTTGTCTTGGATAGCTTCAATACTTGCGAAATCAGTGAACCCGTTTGCGAAATATTTGTTGTAAAGATAAGGTTTCTTAAAAATCTATAGACTAAATTACCCAAAAACATACAGTCTTAACGTTCTTTAACTCGTGGATTAATTGACCTAAACAGTCAGTAGGACAGCTTACTTTTGTCGGATTTGAGGCTACTGATGTACTTCTCGTATTTTACAATGAGCTCTTGCTCCCGCCTAGAGTTTTAGATACTAAATTTACTTCTTATAACTCTCCTCGAGTTCATGAGTGCTTAAGCTGAGCTGGTTTTGGAGAAACTTAATCTTGCCATCTAAACCTCATAAATGTGCAAGATAATGAAGAAAGTACCTTTGAGGGCTATCTCCTTCTGAAGTTCTTGAATTACTTCCTCAGAATTATCGAGATGGGCTTGGATCCCTTTGTCTTGAGTTTCTATTTGTAGCATGTTAGATTTGAGTCAGTCTTTGATCAGCCATTCCATCGGTCTGAACCCCTGGTCTTTTTCTAAAATTTGCATCCTAGGTCGTTACTATAAAGACATACTGAGGTTTGTAGAGGTACTGAGGGATCTCTAGCTCATTTCCACCATGAATTATGATAGTTTCCAGCATATTTAACTCATACTTTCTGATGAATTTTGCATATCTCTTCACATCTTTATTAAGCCTGTTAATCTTAGTATTGAGCAGCTCAAAATGGGTTATAAACTTGTTCAAAATTTTAGTGATTCCTTTTTCATAAGCTGCTAGCTTCTGCGACACTATAGGAGCTATTTAAGCCAAATGCTCTTAATAAATTTGTCCAAAACCTGTATTTAATAGCTGATAATTAAAAATACATTATTTTGTGATTAAACCAATATCTTCCTGACGCAAATTTTCCTAAGGCTAGGAGAGCGTACTCGAAGGGCACTGGTCTCAAGAGACATGCTGCGAACAGTAATAAATTTTAGTCCATCCATGTGTAAAATTTAGCCTAAACAGGGCGACTCTAAAATAAAACACTGCTTTTATAAGCCAGGTAGATTTACCGATTTCTTCTAGCTTCGTCATTGTGAGAAACTTTTCGTTATTTCAAGGTCACCTTATGCGCAAGCCTGAGGTTTTTAATATGTTTGAGATAGCCTTTTCGCTCAACTTCCAGCTTCAACCTCTCCTTCTTATTAGGCTTAGAAGACTTTTGATTTAAAATCTTAGGATAGATTACATCAGAATGTGGTTCTTCATAACTTTGCTTCCTAGTTTTAACCCGGCCTCTAAAGTATTGGCAAGACACTCACTTTTTAAGCTTTGAGTTTAAGGTACCTCCAAGAAGGTCTCTCCTTGGTTCAGGAAGTAGAGGCTCATTCTCATGCAACTTCAGATTTTTCTAAAATATGAATTTTGAAAGCCTACTTCCGAACCGGATTCTTTCATTATTTTCTCTTGTGCTAAGGTTGTAAAATAAGAGCTCAGACCAGAAAATTGGGCTTCTAAGACTCCAAAATTTGAGAAAATTTTATCAGAACTTACATTTACAGTCATTCTGAACTGTTTGAGCCCTTGAGAGGTCTTCATCATCAACAACATGCTTTATGTACCTCTTTTCCTGAAAATTATCCTATTTATACAGTTAAAATCAGGAAAATTATTAGAAAATTATTCAGGAATCCATGGTTAATGAGACCTCTTTTGCTAATTCAAGGTAGTTTCTGGCTTAAAATCAGGCTAATAAATTTTATTTTTTAAATGTCCAGACAAACTTGCACATCAAGGCTTTGCTCTTATTATTTTAGATGGAGATTAACAAAATTTTGCTCTAAATTTTTAACTAGGCTGATAAATCCTTGCGAAAATTCGTACATCAAAACGGTAGTCGAGGTAAAGGTCTTCGTTAATGACATTGTTTGGAGATGACTCGAGTGTGATCTTTTTGCGTGCTTCCTCAATAATCTCTGCTGAGTCTACAAATTCTATGCTCTATATATTTTGTAAGTCAGATGTAGAAGTTTAACACAAAAAGACATCGTTGACAGCACTCACCATTCCTCAAATTATTTTAATAAAATAACTTTAGTTAAAAATTACTGTAATTGGGGTTTTGGGGTTTTGGGGTTTTGGGGTTTTGGGG